ACGACATATATATTGCTTTTCTTGCAGGTGGTCATGCTCATGCAATGCTAAAGGGGGGCAAATATCATGATTTCTAACTTTGTTTTGTGCAGGTGCTTGCTCAGCCCCCCTAAATAAATGAGGGTTAAATAAATCATTAAATAATAACTGCTACATGTGCTACAGAAGAACTGCTTAGCCCTCATAATTAAGAACATGATCAAATTTAGCTGTGTTGATTTATTTTCATTATATATAAACTGCTTGGGATTATATCTGCTTGGGATTTTTATTAGGATAACCTTGCAGGGAGTTTAGAATTTACTGCTTTTCATTAATGTAATAATTGTAATATCAGTGAAGAGTTGTGAAAATGCACTTTGAGTGTGGATATTATTATCCAGCTCGAATTCCCAAATAAGAAGGCATCCTCAAAGAGTAGAGTCTTCTTCCATTTGGAATATCGGGTTTGGATGGCTTTAGATATCCAAAGAGAAAAGGCAATACCCCCTTTGGGGAGGAATTGTCTATTCGTTTGAATATTCAAGCCACGACGAATCCAAGGAGTCCAAGGAGGAGAGATCCAAGGAGTCCAAGGAGGAGAATTCAAAGGAGTCCAAGGACAAGAATTTAAAGGAGCCCACTGAGAAGAAATCCAAAGAAGAGTCTTCAGACCAATGTCCCACTAAAAGTCATTTGCGTCAGTCATAGGCTTAAAAATCCGTGTTATTGACAGTAGTGCCCAGCCACTTTATTTTTTGCAGACCCTAGGTTGTAATTAAATGGCAGTTGGCCTATGAACATTTACTTGATTAGTTGATTTATATTGATGTGTTTACTTTGTTTGCGCAGTAGAAATTGCCTGTTTTTTCTAGGTTTCTTTCTTGCATGCCGCTTTTATTTTAGCCTGGATATTCGATAGGCTCTTTAATGACTAAAAATATTTTTCTACTCATAATTAATACTTAAAATTTTAAGTTTAAATAACATAGACACTTAATGAATCTAGAAAATTATCAGAATCGTCCGGGGTCGCATGCATATTATTGCATTTCCTCTTTCTCCTTCTTTGAGACACTTCCCCACCTGTGGGTAGAGTCTGGATAATCTGACCTATGAGGATGAAGTGCCGGACCTGGGGAAGTCTAGTCTCTTTCTAAAAATTATTTTCTAATAAGCCTATTTTTTTTTTAAATCTAAAGCATTCATGCTTTGACTTTTCAACTAGCATGCATTGCATTAGAAATCAATTAAAATAAAATTTTAATTGCATTAGTTAGGAGCATCTACCAACATAAGTCCATGACCAATTAGGAAACTCTCTAAATGTCGATCATACTTCCAAAAAACTGTACCACCCACCAATCTCTCATAATTGACTTGACAGCATGATTTTAAAGCGATTAGGTGGTTAGCTGGCTCCTCAATCCAAGCCGGGATAAGTCCAGATTTTGCACTGCATTAGTTAGGACATGGGTGTTAGTGTGCGTAGAACACTAAACCCAACTTAGATTTAGGAATCGAGGCTACTACACTCGATCTCGTAGTATGCCTAAATAGTGGGTAAGCTCCCTCTTCTTCAGGGACTTTAAATCGTACTTATCTGCGTCATATAGATGACGCCACCTCCATCCTTCTCTCACGCATGTGATTGGATGCTTAACTTCATTTTCTCCAGATTTCCTTTAGTACCCTAGAGCCTCCGAATGCTGGTATGAACCCCGCATGTCCACCAAGCCTCTTTGGACATTTCTTCATTTGGATAGGACTTCCTAGTCTTACCCCTATGTGTCAATCCCACTTTGGAAGGGATAATGTATGATCCTTAATCGAGAGTCTTCTCGGGCTTCGGCCTGGGATGTAATTAATCACGAGGGCTTGCGCCCGTGGGAAACTAAATTCCACTATCTCATAAACTCCATTTCGAGCTGATGTATCGGTTGGGAGAAACCCGTGATTGTGATTATGTCATATATATTATTACACATCGAGGTGCGTAGGCGAGAGCTGCTATCCTCCATGGTTAATCATATGTATGATCCAATCTGTCGCATCCACTTGGCCCGTTGCTCTTTCGGAGGTCCACAATATAGTTTCCGCAATCATATGGAATTGACTATAACAAGACATTTTCTTATTTAATATAATTGAACAACTTAAGGGTACTCTAATCTATTGCGTCTAACTAAATCGTTAAGAAGTCAACAAAAAAATTCCTCTGAACCTTCAGACATCTATCACAACAAACAAAATCTATAAACGCAAAAGGTTAGTATGTAGATTAAAGCAATCCTCACATGCTTGGTTCAATAGATTCAAGCAATTGGATTATTGGTACATACAAATATAAAGAGGATCACACTATCTTTGTCAAAAGATCACCTAAACATTAAAATATAATTATGAATGTTATATCGATGACATTATTCTCAACGAGACTTTGCAAAAGAAATAAATAAACTCAAGAGACTTCTTCACTAAAAAATCTTAAACATTTCCAAGGTATAGAGCTGGAATGATCACAAAAGGATATCCCAAACTCACAACACAAATATGTCTTGAATCTCCATAAGGAAACATGAATGTCGGGGTGTAAACTATCAAAGTCTCCCATGAATTTATATGTTAAAAAGATCATACTTTGATGAATAAAGGTCAGCATCAAAGACTTGTTTACAGACTAAGCTATCCTTTTAACGCTGGACTTGATATTAAATTTTTAGTCAGTGAAATCAATCAATTTATGCATAAACTTATTGGAAGACAAGGAGTTTGTATTATAAGGAAAAGAATTTTCCTTCAAAAAAACTGAAAGAAGAAGATTGAGGTGTTTATTGATGCAAGTTGTGTGGGCTTATGATATAGCTGGCAACAGCAATCCAACTGCCCAAGTGGGGTCTAGGACCTCTTTTATCATCTATAGGAAAAGAGGCTTTGGGAGAAAACTCTTTGAGAAAGGAGGAAACTCTTTGGGAAAGATGTAAGGAGCATTTATTAGGAGATTTAAGATGTTTAAGGGGATAGATTATGGTGGGTTGGGGTATTTATGTATGTTTTGGAATTTCTGCAATAGTTTTTGTGAGGTTTTGGATTCCTAGTAGCTTCTAGGAATTGTAGGAGAGACGATTCATCTCTCGAACAATGAATCTACTTGTATCTTATCTTGCTTTGCTTGAAAATTAGTAAAAATAGCTCTTTTGTGTTATTTCTGGATCTATTTGGAGTAAATTGTTGTTTTTTTTTTATATTATTGTTTGTTGTTTTGATCATCAAGTCCTATCAGCTTAGTTATGGATCACAAGTCCAGTTTAGGGTATTGTATTTTTGTGTGGGAAATTTTAGTCACTGGGATTAATAAAAAGCAATATGTAAAGCAGCACATAAGAAAATTACTCATCTCAAGAGAAGAGCCGGTAAGACAATTTTATGATAAACAAAAAGCATGTGAAAAATCATATGCATCATGATAGAATAAAATATGCTTAAATAAATTGACACTTCATTAAAGAAAAGATAGAAAATGGAACCATATCAATTCAACGTGCTCCAACTCATCACTAAATTGCAAACATTCTCACCTATGTTGCACCGATACGGATACAACGACACGGATACGACACGATACAGATAAAAGACACGTCAATTCTTAAAAATACAGGATACGAGTACGGCACGGACAAGGCATTATAATTTGTAAATCATACATAAAAATTAAGAAAGCATTCAAAGCATAATATTTGAAATTACAAAAAAAATGAAAGTAACATCATTTGTAGCATTGTAGCTTATAATATCAAAATAAAAGTAAGCATTAAATGTCTAGTACAACAACAAAAGCATAAACATAAATTGTCTAGCACATGAAGTTTCAACTATTCAATACAAGGAATGATATGATTAGCTTCTTTAGTGGTTTGTCTTTGAACTTCTATATCATCTTCAATAAATATCATAGCTTCTAATTCAGGCTTATCAAGTGAAATATTAGCAATTTCTAATATTCTCATATCATCAAGAGACTCATATCCATCTCGGAAATGAGAGAACCAAACTTGCAGCCGTGAAAGTAAATACGACAGCTCCCTTTTTTGGATTTTTTTTTTTTGTTTTTCAACGGTTACACGTATTGGATACACGTGTCCTTTTGAAATTAAATAGTATTTTAATTGGATACCGTATCTGACATGTATTGATGTTGTATCGGAGACATACCGTGTATCAGTGTATCGAATATAGCACGCCTTATCGGTGCAACATAGATTCTCACCAAGGTTATTTCTAGAATGAATTAAGAGTTAAGACCCAAGTTGGAAATGATAAATAAAACTCATCGAAACTAAGAGGGAGCGTTGAAATTTAAATACAGAAGCAGAGGAATTGAGGGTCTTATGAGTTTTTTTATTGTACTTCTTAGTGGGCTCTTGCATGGAACCTTGTTACTTTATGTTTACTTCTTCTCTATTTTAGATGATTTGATTTATTGTAATAAAATGAATCTATCCTCTATAAATAATATCTCGATCCTATTCAGTGAGATAAAGAAATTTTCTATTTCGGTTTCTATATGAAGCAATTAAAAAAAATTCTAAAAGCAGCTTTTTGAGAAAAATCTCTTGAAAATAGTGCTTTTCATCCAAACATGGTGTAAAGTGCCACTGCTTTGCGGCTGCTTGCAAAAAGCTAGAAAAAATTAAGAAAAAAAAATTGCGAATAGGCAATATAACAAATAATGGAAGGACTGAAGGAGCATGACAATCAGAATCATTATTGATCAGTACAAGGAAAAGGACAACGGGAAAAGGAAAATCCAATCCATAAACAACCCCAAAAGGCTGCGAGCCACAAGCATAAACTACAGTCGGTAAGATGAAATAAATTAGATCATCGGAACTTTTTCAACCGCTTATGAATTTAAAACAAAAAGAAAGAAGGTGAGATTCAAACGTCCCGCCACCTAAAAAAACTCTCACCCAATCCAACAACAACAAAATTCAAAACAAAAATAATTCAGATCCATTGCTAGATCGATGATATAATTATATGATGCAAGACAACAAACCGAGATATAAGTAATTCCAAACCTGGCTAAACTTGAGTGCATGGGGCTCGCCAGCTAGCTGGAGAGACCCACTCACAAAGACGATCACACCGCCGGCAGGTCCAGAGGTCTGGCAATCAATGGTGGAGATGTTGTGTTGACATTGCTGGAATTGAAGGCCGGTGAGTTTGGCGGTGATCGCCGCGGCGCCCTGAATCTTCTCCCCCTCGAAAGACAACATCGAGCTGTCCTGATAAAGGCCAGCCAGGCCCGCGCGATTTGTGTCGAAGGTGCGGTAGTAGTGCTCCACGAAAGCCCGAGCTACTGCGTCGGGATCCATCGCCGACTCGCCGATCCAAAGGGGGGCAGCCGAAACCCTAGGCGGAGAATCTCAGTTTCAGCGTCGGAGAAATTAGTTGCACCGGATTTACTGCCACCGCAACTCACCTTATGAAATAATATATGCCTGAATTCTTATTAGGAAAAAAAATCCTGTAGAATTTTCTTGAGATATTCACTCACATAATATTACTTTTTATTTAAAATTTGATCAAAATGGAAAATATTAATAGTATTTTTATCATGAATTTTTATATTTGGATGAGAATTTAAAAATGGAATTAAAGTGATATTAATTTAATAAATAATTAAGATTTGAATGCAATGGAATGATCCCTATTTTTTGAAGGACAATTTTTTTTTTATAAATAATTAAATATTGATGCTTTCGCAAAAATAATATTTCTCTCTCTTAAGTTTCGTTTGGAATAGCTTTTGTATTATTTTATAAAGTAAATTTTTAATACATAATTTTAAAAATCTTCTTCAAAAAGCTGTCCCAAACAAAACATTAATATTCCATCTTCTCTTATTCACTAAAAATAATTAGTGGAACGAGAGCATTAATTTTAATTCCACCTTCAATAGTATAGAAATATCAATGCGTTGCCTCTCATTAATAGATTTAAAATTTTGTATTAATAATATATATGGCTTCAATTTGAATCTCTTTTAATTCCATAATAATTATCACATTTAAACCATTCTTGATGAATTGGCTTTTTCTCATCTTTTTATTTTTTAATTTATTATTTTAGGATAAAAAATATTTTTTAAAAAAAAAAGAGAAATTCACTAAGATTGTGAGCATCAACTCCTTTCAATGGATCTTGAATAATATCAAACTCAAAGTCTTTTTATTAAATTTAAAATGAATAAAATGCAAAGATAATTATTTTTTCACTCATTTTAAAATAGATTTAAGAGTTTTTAGACATGTCTTTATAACATTTTAGGTTTCATTTGACATAGCTTTACTTCTTTTTCAGATCTCAACCATAATTTTTATTCTATAATAATTTAAAAAAAAATTATTTCCTTCATAGTAATTTTGAAGTCAATTTTACCAAAAATTACAGTCATTCCAAATGAACCCTTTGGCTTCATTTGGAATAGTTTTTTTATTATTTTCTAAAATATTTTTTTTAAAAACAAATTTCTTGAACTAAAAATTTTTGTACTAAAAAGCTACTTTAAAAATAGATAAGAAAGCTAACCCAATCAAAGCTTTAGGCTTTTTAAGGCTTCGTTTAGGATGACTTTCTTAATGCTTCACAAAGCAGCTTTTTAGTATAAAAATTTTATTTTTTATGCTAGAAAACTTCTTCAAGAAGCAGTAAGAAAGCCGTCCCAAACGAAGCCTAAAATAGCATTTTAAACGGTGTTTTAAAAAGCAATTAAAAAGTATATACCAAATGAAGCCTTAGTGAGATAATCTAATACACTTCTCATTACAATGTCAGCATGTTAATAGAAATTTAATTGAATAATGATTTGACCGATCTACTAACACTCTCTATTTCTAATTCAAAGACGGTCAAAAAAAAGGTCAACGCAGTGTCAGCAGAGGTCAATCTATCCCTACAAAATGCTTACAAGTTGAGATTTCTTGAACTGATGGGACAGATTAGAGCTTCATTGAGACAATTGTCTTACTACTTTCAATAAATCAGCTCATTCTTTTAAATGTTCATTCCATTTTCTGATCAATCTATCCCTCCTAAGCTATTTTATCTGTTCAGTTTCAAAAAACTGCAAGCCTATAGGCCAATATGAGGTAAAATATATAGCTCATATGTAATCAGACTAAGAAGACTAGGAGAAAGAACAAACCACATAATGCTATCAGAGAAGGGTATCGAATCCCATTATCCTTTTAAGAAACTATAACCTCAATCACATAAATGCAAATAGCTTCAATTGTGCAGCCAATATGCCTATTTAAGATCATCTCAAGTGAATTGCATGCAATTATATGCCGTCAGCAAATCGCTACATTCGAATTCTAAATCTTATGCCAAAAATCGGTAGGTGAACAGTGCAACGCTAATATTGGCGTCCGAATGTTCACCTACAACCAAAAAAACAATCGATTTCGCACTTTGCATAGCTTCGCAAGAAGCGCACGAAATAGGGGAGAGATGGTTACCTTCGCAAAGAAGCACGCAAAAAAAGAAAAATGGAGTTCCATTGGAGATGAACTACCGCATTTTGATGTTTTACGGAATTTTAGAGTGTAAAATGGAGTTTTCGGTTGGAGATGCTCTAAACACAACAAAACAGGAATATCTGAACATCTAAAATAAATTTTCCATTGAACCATCTAAAAGGAATATATTTAAAAGGTTTGACCTGATCAAGTATTCTTGAGTTATTTTGCAGGAAAAAAAAAACAGATAAGTGAAAGATTTCAAGCTCCTATTTGAAAGAACAAAAAGAATACAGCAGATAAGGCAATCATGAGAAAAGAACTGCAGCTCAGCTTCATGGCTGCTTCAGATGGATATTCAGTAGTTGCAGATGGAGTAGTTGAGGAATTTGCTGCAACAAAAAATGTGAGAAAGTTCTTCAGCTGATGAAATTTTTTTCTTTTTTGTTGTAGTTATTGCAATAAATTATGAGGAAGGAAAGCTCTTATACGATTTTACCATAAGAAGCATTGGTGAAGATAGCATAGTCCGGTGAGTTTGGAGGTAAATTCAGAAGCTCTGCAAGAGCAAATATGTAATTAGTAAACTCTAACAATGCATTAAAATGACGTTCTTCAAATTTTTATATAATTAGCAGACTCTAATTAGTTATTTCTTCTGTGAACTCTGTCAATGCCTCTTTTGCCAAACATATTTGAATAACTAAAAGAGCTTTTAGATCCTTTTATGTTTCATCTTCTTTACAAACCTATTCTGATACAAAAGATCATATATCATAGTTCTTTAAACCTGAAAACTCTTTATCTATTGAACTTTTTGATAGAAAATTTCACGGCAATCCTACTCGAAACAATGCTCTGATACTAATTGATTATAATTAGAACACCAAAACTTCATATGAAAACACCATAAAAAGTAACTAAAAAGAAATAATAAAATAAAAAAGTGAAGAATCGTGTTTCCTAAAATAAAATTCAAGTAGTTATCAGACAACTAAACAGCAATGTGACTAAAGCTTTAAGCTTGATTCTCAATTAAAAAAAAGATTTCTTTTTTGTTCATTCATGTATATTAATAAGAAGATAAGCTTACTAGGGCAGTCGCTGACGCTAGCGTTGGCAAGAGCACAAGCCTTAGGAAGAGTAAGTAGACGATCTAGCCGGAGATGAAAGGCGGAAAAGCCGCCGCCGCCTCCATGGGCCTGGCGAATGACGAGGCAAAGGCAAGTTGGGTCCTTCCCCTTTATATCCGTCACCGATCCGCAGCACTTCCCCGTCGGCGACTTGTCTTGTCCGCTCGCATATCCCAAGCACTCCGTCAGCTTCGACGCCTCCGTCGCGCACTGCTGGTCTACGGTTGGCGCATCGGTCGACGTCGCGACGGCCACGAACATGACGAGAAAAAGGAGAGAGACTACTCTGTGGATGCCGGCCATGTGGTTTTTTCAGCAGCGCTCACATGTGATGTGTTCGACGAAATGCTTAGCTGGGATATTAGTAGAGAGGAGCATTGAAGTAGGGTGGATGGAGGTTGCATGACGAGATATTAATGCTGCTGACGAGCTGGTGGACGGTTCTGCGGATTTACATCGACTTGGATGACCATCCCAAGTATTCGGTACTTATCTTAATAATAATTATTATTTTGAAATAATATAATATAATAAGGGCAGAGCTCATAGATGTACTATTATATTTGCTCCTCCCTCCTCTACTGTATGAGAAATTATTACTTACTGTACGTCCTAACTTTAATAAAAATATGATATATGTTATTGTATATAAATTTGTACATACTACCAAGTCGAATCTCGTCAAGGAACGCAGTCTCCTTGGATCCCTGACATATCTGCCAACAGTTACTTATAATTTGGCCTCCCTTTGAAAATTATGACTGGTTCCACCCCTACACATTATGTATAATTGTACATAATATGTATAAATTTTATGATTGTATTTACGGTGTGTACAAATTTGTGCATATTATGTATACAGTTTATATATAGTATGTATAAATTTATATACACACTATAAAAAAAGTATATGTCATATTATTATTATGAACATTTTTATTAGTGTTCGAACAGCACTAAGTCCGGCGTAAGGATTCCTCTATACGAGTAATTATTGCAGACATAAAGATGCATGGGCTCCATAGTGTTAGTATCTGGACAGAGAAGGGTTAGACGAGCCGGGCCGGAGTCCTAACAATGTTTGCCTCTTAAGGTTTTAATGGGCCATAAATGATGGCCCGCGAAGTTGACTATTAACGGAATAGGAAAAACTCGCTTCCAAGTTTTGTTTGTTGACAAAGCAATATTTAATTGTGTTAAATATAAGATGATTAAAATTAAAGTTAGTCTTTTAAATAGTATAAGTAAACCAATGCATATCATCATCATCAACATCATGCACTTTATAATCAATACCATCAAATATATACGTTTAATTACATTCGTCAATGTTAAACTCCAAATATGGATTGATATTGCACGGCATCTAACTTTTATAGATACGATCGGTGTCTCACACCATAACAAATTTGCTATGCATCATCATTATCATCAATCATTTCCGTTGTCCTTCATCAACATCGCACCTCCTATTGTGAACTATCTCCTACTAAATTTTCTCACCGACTATTATCTTTTACGCTTGCAAAGTACGTTAAATACTTAAGTTTCGTTTGCGACAGCTTTTTTATGGTTTTCTAAAGCAGATTTTTAATATAAAAATTTATAGTCAATAATTTTTTTATTAAAAAACAGCTTTAAAAAACAGTAAGTTGTCTCAAACGAAATCTTGTAACCTTAAAATCCCTTGTAAATGATGATGAAAAAATAAAACAAAGTTATAATATTCTAACATATTCATTATTTCCAAGCAACTAAGGTTTTATTTGAGACAACTTTCTTAATATTTTCTAAAATGTCTTTCTATTAAAAAAAATTATTAACAATAAATTTTGATATTATAAGAAAACAGCTTTAAAAAATAATAAAAAAGATGTCACAAACAAAACTTAAATGATCATTACGCTATCATTCTTTTATAGTATGTAATTACCCATACAAATTAAGACATAAAATTCAACGAATTTGGTTCTGCGAGGCATTAGAACACCTATTGCAAATAAAGATATTTGTTAATTCAAAATAATTGTTAATATTACAATTTTTTTTCTCTCTCTTAATTGGCCTGGTGAACTAGTCGGTGCCAGGCGGCCACATAGAAGCTAAGAATCCGATTCTCTCTCCCTTGTTGCCACCTCTCTCTCTCTCTCTCTTTCTAGTAAAATAAATAAAGATTTCTCTCTCTTTCTCTTTTTCTACTCATCTTCCATTAAAAGGATAAAATTCTTCATTCTGTGAGCCATAGAGAGATCAATTCTGAATTTCCAGGTCTCAATCTCCAGTTCTTCACAATGGACCTCTTCTGGACTTTGCTCTCTCATCTCATCTCTCTCGCTGGGTATAATTTCTTATATTTCTCTCTTTCTCTCTCCTCTTTTTCATTTATTATTATTATTTAAAATCAGTTTCTCAATTCATATATGCAGGCCAGCCCTCATGCTCCTTTACCCCTTGTAAGTTTATCTCTCTTCTCTCTCTCTCCCTCTCTTAAAAAATATATTTATTTAGTTGATTAGTGAGAATATTATAATTACAATTCAATCAATACAAAATTTTTAAATGTATCAATTTTATTAATATATTATATTACGATGATTTTAGAATTTTTAGATTTAGGCTTCGTTTGCGACGGCTTTTTTACTGCTTCATAAAGCAAGTTTTTAGCACAAAATTTTTAATTTTTTTACTACAAAACTGTTTTAAGATTCAGCAAAAAAGCCGCCCCAAATAAAGCTTTAGACGACAATATTTGTGCTGGCTTTCTTGCTGATTCTTAAAATAGCTTTCTAAAAAAATAATGAGAAAGTTGTCACAAACTAAGCCTTAGTTTGAGACGAAAGTAATTAATAAGTTTTTATATTAGCAAATTCAAAAATATAAATAATAATATTACATTTTGATTAAGATATTTTCATTAATTTTTTTTCTATATTATTAATGATTATTGAATTGAATTGAATTGAAAGATACGCTTCTGTTCAAGCAATAGAGAGCACGTCGAAGCTTGATGATGAGCAATGGTTAGCTTATTGGATCATCTATTCATTCATCACTCTCATGGAGATGATAGCAGCACCTATTTTATACTGGTAATGTTTCATTAATATCTTAATTATACTTAAATTATACTAATCTTTTTTAAAATTTTGGATAAATTTCATGATTAGAAAATAATTAAAATGGATTTTTTGTTTTTTTTAAGGATTCCAATATGGTATAAGATAAAGCTTTTGCTGGTGGCCTGGCTTGTTCTTCCACAATTCAGAGGAGCTTCTTTTATATATGAAAGGTTTGTGAGGGAGAAGATGAGGATGCACAGAGCTAGAGCTGCTCAACGTGCTTACGTGAAGGTAATTAAGTAATTATAATTAATTATATAGCTCTCCTTTTTTTTAAATAGGAAGAATAATTTTTTTTTTTTTTGGAAAATAGGAGGTATTAGGTGGGAATAAGGTGGAAGGCTGAGAAGGACATTGGTGAACAAAAATGAGATCAAGATGTGATCTTTTTCTTCTGCCTTTTACTTTTTCTTTCAATTCTATTATTTCATTTTGTTATTGATAAGAAACAACTGAGAGGAAAGCTAAGAGAAGGATAAGTAAAAAATATTATTTTGTTTGAATCTTTGTTCATTGGCAAAAATTATTCTTTGAGGACGTCGAACGTCATCTGGAACCAACCACAATGTGTCAAGTCACCTCTTCCTCGGTACAGCGGCTCAGTACTACTAAAGTGGCTCATTCTAGTTGGTCTCCGGACAGTGTTCTGCATCCGGTTTCGGCACAGAATAATTTCTCGTTCATTGGGGGGGGAGTAAATCAGTAATAAATCATAAAGCATGTTACGCAGCTCATCTTGATCTATTAGTTAGGAACTTTAGCTTCCAACCAAGATCGATACCTTGGGTTTAAAGCCTTCATATGTGTTGAGTGTATGAATTTGCTTTAGTTGATCTAAATATCCCAAAAATAAAGTATTTTATGCACTTAAATTTGTGAAGTGTTGGGGTTATAAAGGAAGAAGATGAGATGGGATAAATAAGAAAATATAATGTTAATTAAAATGCAATTAGCATGAATTATAGAATATTTGGATTTTAATTAGATTAATATAATCAATCAAGTTGATCTTATATTATATTATATATATTATATACTCATTATTAATGATATCATTAAAGGCACATAAAATTTATGAATTATTATTATTATTATTGTCAATTGTAAGATTCTTAAGTTGTTTCTCTAATTTGATGAGTTGCAATGATTATTTAATTTATATTTAGTAATCATAATAATTATAATTATTAACAATAACTTCTTTTATTTAATTATTTGATTTTACTTTTAATATACAAATTAAAATTTGAGGATACTTTTCATGCAGTCATTAATCTATGATTTATAATGTATATATTAATACGATAATAATTTATCATAATAATAATTACAAATCATATGAGTTATTGCAATGCAATGAAATTTACTAATTAAATAAGATAATATATTATTGACAGAATTAATAATTAATATCATTTATTACCAATATATTGAGAATTTATTGCAAATCACTAAAATTAAAGATCTTATATTAATTAGAATGATAGTAATTAATAAATTTAACTTAAAATGATGTTAAAAATATATTACTAAGAATTCTTATGAAAATGGTATTTTTTTAATAAAAATATAATCATTTAAAAAAAGAAAATATTGTGCAACATTATCTCAAGAAGAACAATGCAAAAGTTGAGTCCAATGCTTCGTTTGAGATAGCTTTCTAACTACTTTTTAAAGTAATTTTTAATATAAATTTATTTTTAAACATATTAAAAAGCTGTTTTAAAAATCAATAAAAAATTTATCCCAAATAAACTTTAAATTGGCTATAAAATTGGAGTTCTTGGCTTGAAAAACAAGCAAATATGATAGGGACCAAATAGATTACATTCACATCAGGCTGTGGACCATTTCTTGAGGAAAATGTGTTAGCTGGAATGAATAAAGCTATAGGGTTGACTAAGGGATTGATATTTTTTATAATGAATATAATCTATGATAAGATCTTCTGATATTATTTTTTATTATGTTATGTATTTCTTTGGTGGTGGCTATGCATTCAAATTTGTTGGCTGGTGGTTGCTTGGTTGTGAAAATTGATCTAAATGCACTCACATTGTCATAGAAACCAGCTCCTTCATTCTCAGGAAATGTAATAAAGAGAGAAATTTAAGGTTTATTTAAGAAGAAATTATTATGTGCAGCATCCAAACAGGAAGAAACGTTCGGATTGTGAGTGTACACATTATATATAAACATTGTGTACATTGATTTGATTTACAATGTGTACAAATATGTACATAATGTGTACACTCACATATTCAGACGGTTCTTTCCGTTCGGATGTTGCACGGAATAAGTTTTATAATTATAGCAAACTAAGAGAGCCACAAGCCAAAGTGAGAGATGATAATTGATGGAGAATCATTACAACAAATAGTTTAAGAATTTTGCCACATTGACTTACTATCTCAATCTAGCACAAATCTCAATAAATAATCCGACGGCTACAAATCACTTCGAATGGGTGCACGGGTCGAACACATTTGCACAAATTACAATTTATGAAGACCAAAGAATTTAGGTTTCGTTTGGGACAGTTTTTTTATTGCTTTTTAAAACGGCTATCTAGTACAAAATTTTTCAATTCAATAATTTTTTGTACTAAAAAGTTGTTTTAGAAAGTAACAAAAAAGATATTCTAAATGAAGCCTTTAGAACAACTTTCTTACTGTTTTCTAAAGCTGCTTTCAAATATTTTCGTACTAAAAAAATATTTTAAAAAATAATATGAAAGATGTCACAAATGAAATCTTAGTTAAAACCACAGCTTTTTTACAACAATTGCACAATTTCAAGACCATATGAATATAATATTCAATTTTATATTATTTACTTTTCTTTTTATTATTTGATATATTGCTTTGCCATTGCTCATAATTTCAGAAACATTATGCTTTTTATTTTATTTTATGTTGTTTTCAATAGACAAATTATTATTGCATGTCTCAATCCAACAATTTAATCCATTAATCCAAAAAAAACTTTATGTTGTTTTCTTTCCACAAATATAATAATGACATATCTCATATCATTTTCATTAAATTAATTTAAAATTATTCTTCTAACATCAGATTATCTATATATTTACAAAAATGTCCTATCTTTAGTTGAAAATTAGTTATATCATTAGTTTCATTTGTGATTGTTTTCTTACTATTTTCTAAAATAATTTTTGATAAAAATTTTCTAGTTCAAAATTTTTTTAATGAAAAAACTACTTTAAAAAATAGTAAGAATGATGCCCCAAACAAAGCCGTAATTGATTAAACTCATCAATTTTTGGGATTTGTATGATTGACTGATTAATGAGGATCAATTTAGGCTTTGTTTGAGTCTGCTTACTTACTGCTTTCAGAAACAATTTTTTAGTATAAAATTTTTGTACTGAAAAACTGCTTTAAAAAGTAGAAAAAAAAGCCATCTCACACCAATGTGCACTCCGAAAGAAATTTAATTACATAACAAGCATATTTATTTTGCACCCCACATCGAAACATTTCTCCACAAAGAGATTTTGTCTTCGTTTGGAACAACTTTTTTACTACTTTCTAAAGTAGTTTTCTAATACAAAATTTTCTAGTTCAAGAAATTTTTGTACTAAAAAATTGCTTTAGAAAACAATAATAAAGTTGTTCCAAACAAAGCCTTTACATTCTCTGAAAATCAGAAAAATTAATCTATATCTGTTCTAACACGGCAACCTAAACCTAATTATGCTATGCTAAAGCTGATTCGATGTAACTAAAAATAGCCAAATTTGAAAGAAAATTAAAGCCAAGGTGTCAGCAAGTAAAAATAACTCTTGATTTAGGCTTCGTTTGGGACGGCTTTCTTATTGCTTCTTAAAGCGGCTTTCTAGCATAAAAATTTTAATTTTTGTAATAGAAAGCAGCTATAAAATGTAGAAAGAAATGCGTCCCAAACGAAGCCTTAGTTTGCCGCAATCAATGCACAAGTTTGGGTTATCAAAATAATTAATCAGAATTATCATTAAAATAATTATAATTGCCTTATAACAACAACAACAATAATAATAATAATAATAATAAACTTATTTTCTACTTTAATTTCATCCAGAAATATTATTATATATTGTTCCCACATTGCGTTAGCACTGCATTGGTTCTCCAAAATGTTAAGATTTATTGGAGATGATTGCAGCTTATTATAAAAGTGATTGCAAAACTGCTGTGTGGAAAATCGTTTTCTTGAAAGCTACTGTAAAAAACATGTTCCTAGCACAATCAGTTTTTAAAAGCAGAGAAGTAATAAGAAAGATGTCCCAAACAAAGCCTTAAGTTTCAGCTTTCTCATTGCTTTATAAAGCAGCTTTTTAGTACAGATAATTTTTGAAAAAGAAATGTCTGTACTAGAAAACTGCTTTAGAAAGCATTAAAAAAGTTATCCCAACCAAAGCTATCAACACATAAAAAAAATATTTTGGTGGTAATTATTCAACACAACAGATATTTTAGATTTAATTAGTATTATTTTGATGATATGGAGACAAATACTGAAATTCCTCCTATCAACATCCTTGAAAACTAAGGCTAAGAGACTAGAGTAGGAGAATTTGTGCATAATAAATTTAATATTTTATAAATTTTTATCAAGTGCTAAAAGAAAATATTAAAAAAGAAAAAACTTATAAAACTATAAAAAATAATTTCAATAAACTAATCAAATTAATTAACGTTGCAATATTAAAAAAAAATTATCTGATCGAACATGAATTTTTACATAATTTTTTTATTCTTGAAACCTCAAATATTTGGATCAAAAAGTTTATGATGAATTAAAAATAAATAAAACAAATTTTATTTTTTTTAAATAAATTTTTTACCTTACACAAACAATCATATTTTATATTTAAATTACATGAAAAGAGATGAAATACAAATTAGATATTTTTTAAAAGTAAAATTCAGTGTCAAAACTCAAAATACAAATTTAATAAATAAGATATTCAATCTCAGAATTTTAATAATATTAAAAAAAATTTATAAATTAAATTAGCTTATAACTATACACAAAAACTTTATTTTATTATATATTTTAAATAAACAATCAATCAAATGAGCTAAAAAAATATTTTATTAACAAAAAGAAAGAAAAAAAACTTTTTAATCTCTGTATGGCTTCAGTGATGATGCTGCCTCCACTCCTGCATTGATTTGTGTCTCCAAAGCAAGAATCAATATATGCGCATTCCACTATACATTATCACCATTATAATCATCAACTCCATCAGCTACAGCTAATTGAATGAGATGTTTAAGAGAGAGAAAAAGAGATTATTAAATTATGGCGTCATTTGGGACAACTTTTTTAATGCTTTCTAAAATAACTTTTTAGAATTTTTTGTACTAAAAAGTTGTTTTAGAAAGCAATAAGAAAGTTGTCACAAACTAAACCTATCAATAATGACTGCTCTCATTTTCCTATTGATACAATGAGATAGTGAGAAATCCATTTGATAGGGAAGGTGAAGACTTGTTAATGGTATCTTAGTACTATCTAATCGAGTTAAGTTCAAGAGAGTCGGTCTATGTTTGAAATCGAAAATTTTGACTTCGCTATGAGCTGAATTAGGGTTTATTTCTCTTCTCAAATCTGAGATCTGGGATCTGGAAGAGATGACAAGATATTCAAAAAAATTAAAAAATATATATAAAAAAATGTTTGTATATGCACATGCTAAATATGGACAAGACTATCACTATGGATGGACTAATAATCTATAATGGAAGGTGGGTCTAAGGCTTCGTTTGGGGCAGTGCTTTGGCTATTTTCTAAAGCAAAGCAGCTTTTTAGTGTTAAAAAAAAAAAAAACTTATACTAAAAAATTGCTTTAGAAAACATTAAGAAAGCTGTCCCAAACAAAACTTAAGTATTCCATTTGGCTTTAGATCCCAACTTAATTTTATGCCTTGAATGAACAAACCAATTACCAATCATTAAAAGAAAATGTGACCTTATAGGCAAAAGCATCATTCCAAGGTGAGTATAATTATGAAGACAAATTTTTTTTTGCATAGAGTACTCATAAATAATTAAACTTTGGAGAAGGATGTCTTTTTCCTTCTAAAGTAATGAATGAAATAATTTCATGGTTGAAAATTCTAAGAAATCAATTCTCTATCACTGTGATGAGAAATGAATCACAATGCCAAATGACAAAAGAATAGGGAAAAAAACACCTAATGATTGTCTATAATTTATGATTGCAATTTATAAGAAATAAGAAGCATGATTCACTTGCAATCTTAAGGCTAAATGAGCCAAGATGAATGGACTCATACTAGCCAATATTTTGCATTTCAAACAAGAATATATATTATTAAGAGGTTCGACGTAGGGAGTCCAAACTCTAGAATTAGACATCCTCTTTGAGCAATATGTTACTCACCATAATTAATTAGAAGAATTGCGTCTATCTTTTATTTTTGTCATTTAACTAGAGCTTATAACATCAGAAAGGAACATGATTTGCATTTATATTCATCAACATATGTAAAATTACTACAAATTGAAAGCATAAGATCTAGAGAAAGGCCTTGATGGATGTTTGCAATATCTGATAACTAGGAGCTAAAATGGCTATAGAAAAGCGATGGTTAGGTCATGTGGCTAACAATCATCCCATTATAAGAGGCTTCGAGGATCATCCCTACTAAACTTCAAAAAATTATTATGTATTTTTGACTTAGGCTCATATAAATTAGTTTTAGCGAAGAAAATGATGCACATCTTCTTTTATTTTTGGGGCAAATTTTAAAAAGTAGATATGATTAAAAAATAAATTATGTGTTGTTGCAGCAAGTCGTTCATTTAACTGGTGACTTGCTACAGTTACAGCTGACTGAGTCAGCAACCAATCGCCCATTTAATGACTTTACCTACTTTTTTTTACTATACTTAATTATATAATTAAGTTTGTAATCATACATATTTTAAAATTGTGTCCTTTCTCATTTGATTCATACGAGATAAACAACTTAGTCTAGGAAAATTAAAAAGAACAATTCATCTCCTTCGCTACATTAAACCCACTCGATTTTATTAAATCACTCTCTAGCGTTGTTTCAAATTCACCTCAAAATTTACACTATGGTCATAAAATTTTATGAAATCACTCCCAACTCTTCCTTATAAGCTAAGTTCCAAACACAACCCCACTTACTATTGTCTCACATTGGAGAAATTATTACGTGCAGAGTTCGGATGGAGAGCTACGCCCAGACTCTAATCAAATGATGAAATGTGGCTAATACATACTATATATTAGTTGTGTATTTATTTGTATTAGTTGTATATTGGTTAGTACATAATGTGTACTATAATACACAACTAGTACAGACTAATATACAACAAATATACGTCTAGTATATACCAATACATACCTAGTACATACCAATACATAGCTAGTACATAATGTGAACTAGCCAACGTACAGCTAATACACAATATGTATTAGCCATATGTTATCATTTGATTGGAATTCGGATATGAAGTCTGGACACCGCAAGTAAAAATTTCTACTCACATTGAGCCCAATCAGATAGATACCAGTAAAGACCGCTAAAGCAAGTAATCATCAAAAGTAAAAGAAGGATTAGAATCCATCCATTGCCAACTTCCTTGCTCACTTTTCTCCTCTTTTCTCCCCCTTCTCCTCTCTAATTTCAAAAGCTTTTCTTCATTTCATTTGGAGCTATGGAAGCTTGCCACCTGGAGCTTTGGAGTCCCTTGCAAGTGATTCTTGATTGATTGTTCACTTTGTTAAATTGGAGAAGAAAACCAATACATTTTGGGAAGAAATAAATAAAAAAATAAATGGAGAAGAATGATATCAGGAGGTTAAAATTGAGCGCAGTATACAGACAGTCTTCTTCTGTCTAACTCGATACAGAGGATAAAACCAAATATATGCCCTGTCCCTCTCATGCTTCACTGTTCCCTTCCTCCTCTCTTCTCCCTCTTCTTCTCAAATCCCAATCCCCTTTTCCCAATTCAATTCAATAGCCATTATCCATCCCTATCCACTTCTCCTCTTTGCTTCTGAAATAGAGAACAGTTCAGTTAAAACTGAAACGACAAAAGTTCTCAGGAGTTGGTCATCTTCTTCTTTTCTTCTTCATTCAACTCCCAAAATCCTACCTTTCTCTCCATGGATTCTTCTAAAATACCATACCAGAACCAAGATGAAGTTCGAGAGTCTCCTTTTTCAGTTGAGAAAGACGACCAAAGGAAGCAACTTGCGCCCAAAAGAAGCTCGAACAAGGACCGACACACCAAAGTCGACGGCCGCGGCCGGAGAATCCGCATGCCGGCGCTCTGCGCCGCACGAATCTTCCAACTCACCCGTGAGCTCGGCAACAAATCCGACGGAGAAACCATTCAATGGCTTCTTCAGCAAGCCGAACCTTCCATCATCGCCGCCACTGGTACTGGAACTATCCCAGCCTCAGCCCTGGCCGCCGCCGCCGCCGCCGCTTCTTCCATTCCCGTACCTTCTACTCCCGCTGGCCTCCATCCCAGACTCCACGACCCTCCAACCGCGACAAGACCCAACTGGGCTGCCGGCCTCTGGCCGCCGCAGCCGCCATCACCAGTGCCGCCAATTGGCGGCTTTGGGCTCACAGGATTGGAGCTTCCGGGAACCAATATTGGTCAAATGAGCTTCGCTTCGCTGTTGAGCGGCCATGGCCATCACATACCTGGTCTTGAACTTGGTCTTTCACAAGATGGACATATTGGAGTTTTGAATCCTCATGCTTTGAGCCAGTTTTATCTGCAGATGGGACAGGGAAGAGGAGGAGGAGGAGGAGGAAGTGATGATCAATTGCGGAATCAGAACCAGAGCCATGGAGGCAAAGATGATTCCGACGAATCAAGTTAAAATTTTGAGATGGAAGATAGAGAATTGATTGAGTGATTCTTCTCCTTAATCAGCAGGGATTCTCTAAATATCAACCTAAAAAATAAAAAAATTTGAAAACTTGTGATCGTCGTCTTGGAAGGAATTGTCTTAATGGCTTCTATATATCTGGTTTGTATATAGAGAGATTGGTGTTTCAGTGCCTATTTTTTGTTTTTGATTGTTGTTGGAATTGGCTTGAGCTTTCCAGAAAGCATAAATTATTTGATTGCATATTTGTTATTATATTAGAGCTTGTTAGAATGAGGATTTTGTTCAAATATTCTGATCGCTTGATTTTGTTTAAGCTCGTTGATGTTTTGCTCCATGATTTTAATATATCAGTCTATGATTCAGAGTCTGAAATTAGAAAGGCTCGTTGAAGAAGACAGCAATTTTCTTTCCAGATTCATCACCTACGTAACTGTTTGAATATCTATAAAAAGATAAGACCTTTTTTTTTATTTTAGCTGAAAAAATACTCTGAATATATATATATATATATATATATATATATATATACTTATAAGGAACATAGATAGCTTTCGGCTTCGTTTGGGATGGCTTTCTTATTGCTTTTTGAATTAGTTTTTTAATACAATTTTTTTTTTGTTTAAAAATTTTTTGTATTAAAAAGTTGCTTTAGAAAACAATAATAAAGTCGCCCCAAATGAAATTGAAGCCTAAATTACCATGAGAACATGGCTCAAGGCTTTAAAATTATGAACTAATTTTTTGGTTAGGAAATGATTCCTCTAGAAAGGTGGAGAGAAACTAGATGGATTTTTACCTTATTTTTTTGTGTTAGGAAGCCATTTCTCAAGAAAGGTAGAGAGAAAATTAGAGGGAAAATTATAAAGAGAATAAGTATATCACTACTAATATTTGATTTTTTTTTATTTACAAATAGGGCTTATTGTGCGATAGTGATTTTTTTTTTCTTTTTTTGTTGAATTAAAAGCTCAAAGCGGACAATATCTCAAACTCAAAAAAAAAAAAAAAAACAACAAATGAAACTAGTCAAAAGAGACCTAAAGATACTCATAGAAGACCACAACCCACACCTACTAACCAACATACGTGCCCAAAAACTCATATTTGGGCAGTAGAGTTGTTAGTGTAAATGAGAATTTGACTCTTAATTGAACACAATGCAGAAAAAAGATTCATGCAGTCAAGACGATCCATGTAGTAGAGAAATTATTCTGTGCGGAACACACTGTGTACACACAATGTGTATAAAAATTTGATACAAACTGTGTACAAATGTCTACACTAATATGTTCGGATAATTCTTACCGTCCAGACTCCACATAGAATAATTTCTCCATGCATTGAGATTAAGACTTGATATTATTGTTATTGTTGTTTTTGAGTCATTAATGTAACAACTGCATTGCATTTCAACCAATATAAGCCCAAAATTAGAATCCATGGCAAAGGTTTGTGGTTGATCTTGATCATGCTCAAATGATAGAGCTCACAAGGCCAGAAGGACCAAAGAGCATCCAATTAAGACCTTCTCCAATAGATTGAGGACAATCATCACAATCCCAATGAGGTAAACAATAGCACAGTGGAATAGACAGCAACTAAGGCTTTGTTTGTTTGGGACAGCTTTTTTATTATTTCTTAAAATAATTTTTTAGCACAAAAAATTATATTTTTATATTGAAAAACTGCTTTAAAAAGCTGTCACAAACGAAACCTAAGAAGATTTAGCTCCAAGTATATAGAGAACCTCCAGCTTTTTGAGTTGCTCATAACTATTTGCCTAATGTTTATGACCAAAGTATCCAAAGTAATGAGTCTGATCCACTAAGTTAAGTGGTCAATGAAGCCTAAACTCCTTAAGGAAAGTAAAACCAAAAGGGAAAGTCTTTTTAAGTGGTTCTTTCAATATCATGAAGACAGAGGGCATGTGATGGAGCAATGAAGGCCTTTTTTTGATAAAGACATCGACCATTTTTAAGCCACCCTTCTAAATGGTTAAAAATAGTTTATGTTAGAATATATCAACACAATTATTAATCGATAGATTCAAGCCTATGACCAACTGCTATGCATAATAAGATTTCGTTTGCGATGACTTTCTTATTGTTCTCTAAAGCATCAAAGAAGCTATCACAAACGAAACCAAAGCCTATTTTACATTAGCGAAATGAGACTAGAAAGAATGTCTAGCTCCTTCGAAGTCTAAATTTGGATCATAATCATAGAAAAAATATCTACACTTGCAAGATCATGAATATGAGGGGGAGGACAAATGCTCTAGAAGAAGTTATTTGCCAAAAGGATGATTATATCACAAACGAAACCAAAGCCTATTTTACATTAGCGAAATGAGACTAGAAAGAATGTCTAGCTCCTTCGAAGTCTAAATTTGGATCATAATCATAGAAAAAATATCTACACTTGCAAGATCATGAATATGAGGGGGAGGACAAATGCTCTAGAAGAAGTTATTTGCCAAAAGGATGATTACTATACAAAATTTGAAAGCCATACATTCATGAAGATTTTGGATATATATTCTCATTAAAAATAAATAAAATTATCTTTTATTATAAAAAAATAATAATAAAATATATTATTTATCTTAATTTAAATAGATTTTTTAGCCATTATTTCCACCATGTTAATCTAAATAATAATTCATTTAAAATACATTTTATGTCAATACAAATCGCTATATAATTCATTTAAATTATTTGTTTTTCTTTGATTAAAATTTAATTTTTAATTTAAATTATGAATCTTATGATTATCATTTTGAATGTAATTATTAAAAATAAAAAATTATTTATTATTTTGAATATGATTATTAAGTAAATAATATCTCCACTTTAATGTCACATAAGCACGAATTTTGATGAGATAAGGGGAATTTGTGATGTATTTTATTTCATTAGAATAGGATTCCTTTGTGAAATAATGTTTGAGAAAAGAGGAAATAAGAATATGTTTCGAATGAAAAATCAAAAATACTTTTGTTGATAAAAAAATATTATTATACTATTTCAGGAAAGAAAGTTAATCAATCTTTTTTCCTGATATGGCTAACTGCGCTTTGACGTGTCTAAATTTTATTGAATGATGAGACATTATAAAAAAATAGCAATTTTCCTCAATATTTTATATCTCTTTTTTTTTAAATGTTAAAATCAAATTTGGTTCGATAATTTCAATTTATTTTTTTATTATGAAATAAAAAATATTTTATCAAATTTTAAGTTATGATATATGTTAAATTTGATTGGTCTTATAATTTTTAAATTTTGTTAAAAACAGTTTAATCAAAAATAGAGTTAAAATGATAGATTTAATAACTAAAAAAGAGAAAAAATATTTCTTTTAATAATTTAATATTATTAAATAGACATTTCCCCTCTTTTTTAATCTTTTAATATCTCTAATTAAATAATATCAAATGTTCTAACCGAACAAATTGGACAAACCATTGCTTGTAAATTTAGAGTAAAGCATTAGGCAGGCCGAATTTATACATAAAAACAATTTAATATCTTACTTGTTCTAAAGAAAATTGATTTATTAAAATTAAGAGAATTAGAGTCGCTTTGGAATGGCTGCAGCATATAATAAAGTTAGTTGTGAAGTTGATGTAGGAAATGAACTTAACTATTTTGATTGCAAAAAATAATTTTCCATTGCAAAAAATTTCTAAAAAAATTGGGAAAACGGCAAAAATGTATCAAATGAAATTCTGGTTGTTATTTGAAAGCAAAATAACAAGAAAGGTGGCCAACTAGGGGTTCGTTTGGGATGGCTTTCTTACTGCTTCTTAAAACAACAGGTGATGGTCCGGCAAAACTCCGGTGGTGGTTGAGGAGGAGCTTCTTCCTTCTCTTCCTTCTTTTCTTCTCTTCTTGCTTGGATTCTCTTTCAAGAGAACTGGCTCTATTTATAGATTTTTGGAGTGGCATAGCCCGTAAATAGGTGAGAGATCAAGGGTAAAGGGGGAGTTGTCGAATGGACGGCCGATATTGAACCCCTTGATCATGGACCGTTTGATGGACATTTTAATGTCTTATTGATGTCAGAATTCAGCGATCTTGGGCTCGTTGGATTCGTCTCATCAAGCCGCTCGATTCGATTATAAGCACGGCATGTTTGGAGACCGTTTAGCAATCTAAATTGTGGTTTGAACTTTCCAACAGCGCTTCTAACCCTTAATTTGGACCCGTTTGGGATCGGATTGAGTTGATTTTGGTGTCGTTGGGTTCGTATTTCCGAGACTCTTAGTTTGACTGTAAGTTTTCTGAAATTGTAGTTCGGATGGTCCCAATTTTAATTTTGGAAGTTTCCAACTTGATTTTGCATCGAAATTTGTTCATGATCAAGATAATTTTTTGACGACGTATCAATTATTATTATTATTATTATATTTCAATGAAAGTGTAACATTTCTTTATTAAATTTAGCTAAGGAAATTGATTTAGTTAGTCCTTCGTGAAATCGGAAGAAAGTAGTTTGAGGATCGTAGAAGGGATGGTGGTCAATGGATCATATTAGTGTATCGGTTATCGAAGGGTTGAACTCGGACATCAATGTTTGGAAATCGTAGATGGAGAAGGTGGTTAGAGGATCGTAGTCGAGCGACCGTCATTAGTAATAGAAGTCGGTCAACAGTGACCGAAAGATTATAGTTAAGCGATGATGGTTGAAGAACCGTAGTTGACCAAAATAGTCAAACGACCATAGTCAATCAATGGTAGACGAGGGACCATAATTAGACAATTGTGGCCAAAGGGCAGTAGTCGAGCGATGATGGTCGAAGAATCATAGTTAGACAAGGGTAGTTGGAGGACCGTAGTTTCGCAATGATGGTTCGAGGAACACAAACGAGCTACTGTAGTTGGATAATCGTTGTCTAATGGTGCAATTGAGCTGCAATCTAGTAGCGGCGTTTGAGTAGAGCATTCAAATTCTTGAAGTCATTTAGCTCTGAGTCTCAAGCCAAGATCCCATAAATATAGCTAAAATCTATTTTGATTCTAAGAGTGGTATGTCCCATAAATATAATCAAAATCTAAAATACTCCTCCAAAATGTTCTTTCATTTATCATTCTTTTAGCATTTAAGCTTCTTAATAACATCAAAATTAGATTATTGTAGGTTTATTGGATTCACCTTGTCCAAAAGTTCCATTTGACTATAAGAATATGTGATTTGGAGATCGTCTGATCCTCCAATTAATGCCCTGAATTTTTCTATGATACTTCAAGTGTTTGATCTTGTCTCATTCAAAGTCAAATTAGATCACTTTTGATGTTGATAAGTTTGACTCGTCAAGACGTGTAGTCTAACTATCAGTTTGTTGAATTCAAAGTTCGAATGGTCCTAAATTTACTTCCGAAATTTTTAATTTAAAATATCCATCAAGATTCATGTACAATTAAGCAATTTTTTTATGATACATCAATTAGTTATAAGCCTAAACTAATATATAATTAAAGACTAATTTGCAACTTGCTATCTACTTAGTAAACTACTAAATCCAATTATTGTTAAGCTACAAACATTTAATTCGGCCATACCTAATTATAATTAATTAAGAGCAACCTTAACTACATTTATATTTGGCTACTAATTAATTGCTATTAAAGTAATTTAATCAAATATATCCATAATTATTACAATGTTTTATTCCCTCACAATTTTATTTCTTAATCAAATATATCCTTAGGCTTATGCATTTAAACTTGCACATTTAAAATGAGGAGAATGCATCATCAAAAGGCATATAGACCATTTCCTGAGGCATTAAGAAAATCTAAGAAAATGAAAAAAAAAAAAAAACAATTGGACATTCTTATCAATTTATTTATTAAGACGGGTTCGAATAGACAAGTAAATTAGATACTCAAAAGTTAACTATTTTAATATAGGTTTGCATAATTGTTGACTAAGGCTTCATTTGTGACTGTTTTTTTAAAGCAATTTTTTAGAACAAAATTTTTTAGCTAAAAAATTATTTTTGAAAACAGTAATAAAGTTGTCCCAAATAAAACTAAAGTTATACTTTTAAATCTATAATTTTTATAACGACAACAAAATGTCGGAAATTTATAAAAAAATTAGGCTTTTGTTGTCTGCATTTTCTTAAATCTCACAAATAATAACGCCTCATTATGATAAAACAGATAGGTAGATTAACATATTATCTCTCCATATAATTTGAACATAGATACATTAGAGAGACACTATTAGAAATATTGCAAATTCACTTTTGTGAAGATTCAATGTGAAGGAATCGCTTTCATTATATATATACATACATAAGATTCGAATTCAAAATCTCTTCTTTGATAGTCAAAACCTCTCAATCAAGGAGAAATTATTCTGTGCGGAGACCGGACGCAGAACGTCGTCCGGAGACCAATCAGAATGAACATCAGCGGTAACAAGCCACAGTACCAAGCGGTATCGAATAGTACCGAGTCATGATACCTAACATATGATTCACGTGGCGCATTATAATTGATATCCAAACAGTGTTCAACACCCACACATAATAATTTTCCCAACCAAAAGATCAACATGAGCTGAGTTATTTATCAACTAAGAAAAGAACAAAAGGCAACTAAAAAATGAAAGAGACCAAAAACTGTAGAAAGAAATGGACAGATACCTTTTTCCAGGCAAAAAGCTCACTGTCCAATTACCTATACTTGAAGGGAATCCAATGCCTGCATCACTGTCAAACTCAAAGAAACATTTCTGTTCCAGACCACTAGCTTAATCCGCCATGGTTTCCTGCTGTTACAATCAAAGTCTTCAGATCCATACTAAATCTGAAAATTTATAGAATTCCTTCTCATAATTCAGAAAAATTATCAGATGGCTCCTCCTGGTTTCAAATAGCAGCATTTCCCCCTTCATTAACCATATTTCTTCCTAAAACCTGCCCTGAAACCTTGATTGTTTCTCTTCATGCCGTAGAGCTTGCTCCTTCATCAGTCTCTCCTGTGATCTGAACTCTCCTTCGCCCTTTTCTCAACAAATTATATTAAAGGCAAGCACTTTATCAAATATAGCTGCAAATTCTGTCATTATGGTGAGAAACTGAAAATCATAGTTCCTGTTCACTACTTTACTTATATTATTCACAATCATAAAATTGAATGATTATCTGGGTTCAAACTCCGCACATAATAGATCAAGTCAACAGACCAGAGATCATCACTATTCCTCGTCCAAATCGGGTAGAAATTATGGAGAAATAACTGAAATTTGGAATCACATGTTGTCCATTAAACATTAAACATTGAACAATGCTTAAATCCTAATTAATGCCTGGTTACCATATACTTAACTTTTTAGGACATTTAAACCAATTAAGTCAAACTCACAGACATCCTATTCACAAGATTCTAATCTAAGAACTCTTAATTAAAATGAGAGAAAATTTGGGTCAAGGTATCTTAACGAGAATTTAATTAAAATGAGTTCAACGACATTAAGTTTCCTTTGAAATTAGTACAACAAATAATTATTTAATCAATCAAAACTCACATTACAATATAAAACTCATCCTAACCCTAGCTTTTCCCAATCAAGATAGTCAAAACCAAATTCAGACTGTCCAGTTATGGTAATAAAGTCGCGCAATCTAAACATCCTGTATATACACTTTACACTCATATATCAAAATCATTTATTGAACTCATTGCAAGGGCTCTTGTGATTAGGAAAACTGAACCCTCCCATCTTTACAGCCGCAACAGTTCATAGAATAAATAGAAAGGAAAAAAAGAAGAAGAAAATTTGACATTTATTTACAATAGATATATATCGTGAAAAAAAAAGATGAATCAATCATCAGGGCGTTGAATCTCACCCATCATGATGCGGTTGCTGTGGACTTTGAATCCAAGGAGGGAGGGATCTATCTGCCTCCCCTTCTTGCCTTTCTTCTTTACACTCTTCGCTCCATGTCCGGATTCCAAGAGATCGTGAGCGCTGGGATGAGTTTCAGATTCTGCAGGTTTCTTAGAGCTTTTGATAATGTCGATGAAGGAAGCCTCGCTGATATCAATGTCGTTGGAGGAGGTCCTACGGAACCTCAGATCCTTTAGGACGCCAGAAGCAGTTGCTATAGAAACAACAAGAGATCAGTGATTGATTTCCTTCTGAATAACATAATTTTAATATTCTTCGAGAGGAAAGAAGAACAAGATTTGAGCCTAGATACCTTCAGAAGATGGAAAACCAGACGGATTCTTTCCTTCCATGCTGGGGGCAGAGTTAAATTCAGACAGAGAAGCTTGAGTTGATAGAGTTAGGGAGGAACTGTCCGATCCTCTATCAAGAATTCTCAGCGATCTAAACCACCATAGACAAAATATAAATTTATTGAAAGATTGGATAAAAAGAACGAGAATCAAATTTATTGAATTTAATTTGAGATGAGTTTAATATGAATTTCAATTGATCATGTAAACTAATAATCTTAAAATCCAACCAAACTAATTTTTCTTCGATATATTCGGAATCCCATACAAAATTTTCCTTAAGGATTGTAAACAACAAAACAGATGAGAGGTAGAGCATTCAACAGGTTTATTAAAAAAAAAGTTTGTATAGAACACCATCATTAGCATGATGTCAGCAACTTGGTATCAACTTTATTCAACCCTTTATTGCTACGCTAGGTATTACCTGTTTTATTCATCATTACTTCACAAGAAAAAAATTCCAAATCCATATACCTATTAAACTTCCAGCACTATTGCCATTATTAATTCCATTCTATTTAGGCTCATCTCACTGTTGATCATTACTTCACAAGAAAGAGGAAATGGCAACTCGCCAAAATTCCAAAGCTGAAAAATATCTCATGAAAAAAATCAAGTACCTGCTGGTGGACGTCCCTTCACTATAAACATTATCCGTGCCCGTTTCATAATTGTAGAAGTTCAAGCCTCCGGCTGAAGAATAAAAGGAGGTAAATCACATAACTAGAGCATGAAAATAATAAAAGACAGAAAAGAAGGGTAGAAACCAGCGAAGTACCATTGCTGCCCAATGAAGTATGTCTAATAGGCGCATTGCCTTTCACCTCATGATCATCTGGAAGGGATCCAACAGCTTGATCAGGATTGCTTGGTGCCTTAACCTTTGTACCGCGCTTAACCCTTGCACCACGTTGCTTCAACCTCTTCCCATCCTTAAAATCTGAGAAATCAACCCTATCACCAGAACAATCATTAATAACAGGATCCACAGCTTGTTCCTTCTCGATCTCATCTACTTCAGGAAAGAACTGGTTCTGCTCAATGGAAAAGTTAGATCTAGATCTTAAAGGTAACTCTCCACTAATATCATAGTTACCAGCTTCGATTTCCACACTTGAATGCACCATTCCATCCTGCTGCATAAACGACTTCTTTAAATTGGAACCCTCAGCAAAAGAATCACGTAAGGAAGCATTTTCTGCAGTAACCTTAAACGAATTATCCAAGGAAGAGTTTGTAAACCAGTTGGCATCCCTATCGTCGAAGGATGAAGCAGCATTATCAACCAACTCTAAAGGCTGTGAAGGTTGGAGAGCCAATTGCTGCTGGAAAAATTCATCTATTCCATGCTTCGAGTTCTCATTTCCAGCAAGTGCTGCCCATGAATTTGATTCCATGTTAAATAGACTTCCTCTCATATCCCGCTTCTGCCTCTCGGCTTCAAAGTGAAGCTGGTTTAACTGTGCTTCAATCATGTTATTAGCTCGCTGCTCATTTGATTCAACCCACTGGGTATCCATCACGTCCAAACGAGGTCTAAACAATTGATTTGAAATATGATGTTCATGAGAACTATTAACAGGATGGAACTGCCTTGCCTGCATGTGACCAGGGATTTCTGTCATATCCAACCCCTGCAACCGAGCTATTGCACTTAAAACATCTGCATTTGGCTCGGAAGGGTTGCGAGGAATATGAATTGAACTATCAAAAGGATGTGTGTTTCTTTCATAAGGATTCTGCTGCATGAGCTCATGTAACATGAGGTTCTGCTCAGGTAGGCTTGCTTGATCAAATGGTGAAGGCTGCTGCAGAGATTGAATAAAGTCCGTCTGGTTAATAAGTCTGTTCAAATGAGGGTGGTGATTGCTAGCAGATGTCCTCACGAATTGACCTGATTCATCCACAGACCAGACACCACCAACATGTCTGTCTTCTTCAATGCTTCGTTTTTGCCTAGAAGCAAGAGATAACCGCCTTGCCTGCAGCTCCTCCTCCTGAAGGTTCAAAAGAATTTGTTCTTCCATAGAAAGCCAAGGCCTACGGTTCTGATGAGAGAGGACATCCAACAAATCATTGTGATGCTCATGGTGAAGATTGTGGCCAAGTTTTGCTTGCAAAAGCTGCTCAAACACTAGATCCTGATTCCTCTGGATATGCTGAGGCTGAAGCTCTCTCTCTCTCAAAAGGTGCTGTCGCAATAAGATTTGGTCAAGGGAGCCATCCCGAAGAAGAGGATCATGTGCTTGCCGCTGCAGCAGATGCTCAATCAGCATCTGTTGTTGCTGTTCTTGTTGCTGCTGCTGCTTGAGTAAATGCATTTGCTGATAAAGTTTTTGCTGTTGCAATTGCTGCTGTTGTTGCTGCTGCAATTGCTGCTGTTGTTGCTGCAGTTGCTGCTGCTCGTGTAAACGCTGAAGGTGGTGCTGTTCTTGGAGCTGCAGCTTAAATAGATGCTCAAAATCAAGCATGGACTGATTGCCAGCTCTGTTGTGCAGAGAACCCTGCTCTGGTACCACAAATTGTTCGCCTAAATGCATGTGTTGATGAGGAGAAGGGAGATGTTTCTGAAGTTGCTGTTTTTGAAACTGATGAAGCAGTAGCTGGTCTTGAAGACCAAGATGGTTAAATTCATCTTCAAAATGCTGAAAACGAGCAGCATCCATTCCATCTTGAATTTTACTTGACCTATTGCTTTGAATGGAAGCACCAGGCCATGCATCATGTGCAAAAGGTTGCTTATTAGAAGAATTAAACTGGTCCTGTTTATGTGCATACAGTAGGGAGTCTAAAGCTGAAGGATTAAGATTGTGGATTTGGTCATCTAAACCGGCCACAGTGGATGATATGGGATGTCTAGAATGTGAACCTTCCAACTCAGACCATAGCAATCCAAGTTGATTAATATCATTATCGCTTGGATTCTTATGACTAGTGGTATGAGGTTGTCCAATTTCACTTGCCAGAAACTGGTGGCCAAGATTAGAGCGAGAGAACTCAGAGTCAACATTAACTGCCTTCTCTAAAGATTTCTCAATTTCATTAATGCGTCTTCCAGTATATAGAACTTCTGCAGAAGATAAAGATCAAAACATCACTTGGTGATAAAAAATCAAAGAAGGTCAGAAAACATGCATATATATATATATATATATATATATATATAAGAAAACTAACCTTCAGCATCATGTCCTGGAAAATCATGAAGGGTATGACTTTCAGAAGCTGGAATATTGATAGAAGTTTCGAGATCTGAAACCAATGTCCTCCCAGTTGGAGGTTCCATGTAGCCTCTTAAATCTAATATTCTAGGTTGAAATTCATGACCGACCATTGATTCAGAGACAGCTGCAGCTGTTGTCAATCTTTGGTCACCAAAATTAGAATCTTGTGAGCCGATAACCTCAAATTTATCATTTGCAACATCCAGAGCATCAGAGAGCTCGCGTGAATAAACTTCCGTAGTGGAATTGAACCTGAACTTCAGGTGCGGCATCACTTCACCTAATGGCCTGAATGGCGCACCTTCTGCAGCATCCGTTAAACAAACAGGTAAATCCAAACCAAAAAAACCCTGCTCAAACCACGAAATTATATCAACACCCAAAAATGGTCCCTGAATGTCTCCTTGAGGATCCCGATAGAAAAAACTCAATTCTTCATGAGAGGTCATCTCCATATGTCTCACTTCACTATTCTCATGTTTCTCTCCCATATTTCTTGGAGTTTCCTCGGTAAATGAAGTCTCAAATAAAGAACTTGAATCATCAGGTAATTTAATACTAACATCATAAGCATCAGCTGCCATTGTTCCTTCAATCATTGAACCCTCGCAAGGATACTGCAAACAATAAGCATCCTTAACATCCTTCTCACCGAAGTCCTGCTTTGGCTCCAGTTGATAATGCTCCATCACAGGATGATCAGAACCTTTGCAAGTCCCATCATCGAATTTTGTATCACTAAATAAAGTGTTCAAACTAACTCCAGATGCCACAGGAACATAATCTATTTGATAGAAAGAAATTTAAAAAAAAAAAGCTCAATACTTAACATAAAAGGTGTCTCGGTAAGCATATAATGTGAACAGGACATGCCATACCAGTATCTTTGGTGGAAGCATCAGCAGCAGAAAGAAAAGCATATGACTTAGCCTCACAGTTCGTATCTAAGAATAACAAAACAAGACAATAAGCATATGACTAAATAATTATGAAAATAGTGCTTGTTAGTAGTACTCACCTATCTCACTGTTATCAGTCCTCGCTTTCAGCTCTCTGCTTGCACTGTATGACACTTCACTTCCAGTGAACTTTCCTTTTGATATGTCTTCTAAAAGGGCCTGAGAACCATTTACGTGTAACTTTAACTACATATGTCTAATTATAGAAACCAAACAAAATAACATAGTTTACATCATCACTCTAAGCAGCATTGCCAATAAAAAGAACATTTACAAAAGAAGCATGTATTAAGACTATAAGAAGGATTGTCAAAATGAACCCAAAAAAAAAAACCCTTGCAGTATTTAGCTATCTTGAGTCACATATATGAGATTGCAACTGACCTCCTCAGTAGCATCTGGTGAGACAAAGGCTAACGGTGCTATAGACTTTGTTTGTGTTACAGGAGTATCAAAACCATCAGGAGCAATTTCAAAATCTGGTAGCATCTTCTGCTTCCTATAAATGTCGAGAAGTTTACCCCTTGGGTAGCGAAACATCTCGGCAAATAAACCAGATCTCCCTTGTTCAACATAACTCCTACTTAAAGGCACAGCACCAATGGGGCCAGCTGAGGATGTCCTGTGCTGAGACAAACCTCCCAGAAGGCTTCCCCTGCCCCTTCCAAGAGCAAATCCAACTTGCGAAGCTTCTGACCGCCCTCTATCCAAACCAAATCCTGGAGCAGCACGATAAACTGTAGATGCACCAGAATGAACCTCCATGCGATGGCGTGGCCTCCATTTGTCGCGGGTTTCAGATTCAGATGGGCGGCTACTACCGAGAAACGTTTGCTTTTCAGCAATTTGGTCCTCCTTGTCAGCGTCCATTTTTCTCTCAGTACGCGAGTCCTTCTCCTCTGGCCCCCATCTTGATGACCATTTACTATCACGCCGGATCTCAAGGCCAGTGCTACGACCTGCAACATCATTCCATCGGTCAGAGGAGGGCAGACTCCTAGATTCACCAGAATCTCTTGCTGAAACATTTTCAGAGCGTCGGTCATTTTTTCTGTGATCAATTTCACGATCACTTTCTTTCTTACGATCTCTCCTAACAAGCGAACCAGTCTCTCTTTCCTCATCACGCCAACGTCGGCTATTCTCAACATCAGGAACAATCCTTCTCCAATCCTTTTTGTCTGGAGGCCCATCCAGACGCCAAGAATCTTTCTGAACTGAGTCTGCAGAGGTTCCATGTGAAAGGGAATTTGGCAGGCGAGTATCCTGAAAGAAATAACCTCTTCTAGAATCAAAATCAATCTATATACCAAAACAACAACAACAAAAAACTAGGACTACGAAAAACTAACAAACAAACATCATCTTAAATCAGACTTGCCTCCTACAACTACAATTAATCAAGAATTTAAGTCACAATTTAAACTGCCTTCATGAAAACACCATACGGAAGATAAATTGGGAAGACCACAATAGCTATTAGTAGTAATTGCTAACCAGAAAGTGGAATAAAAAAAAACGAAAATATACAAAAAATGTTATGAGGTATATAAAGAAGTAAAAGACTATGAGTAGTTGGTAAGGCAAAGTTTAAAGCAATACTAGTTGATCTCAAAGAGGAATGCTGTTGGCCAAAAAAATTATTCTTCTGGAAGATCATCACATGATGGTGATGCCTCACCTATTCCAACCAAAAAGGAACGACCTTCCCATTGTAACGATCAATTCAGATAACAATTAACTACCGCAATGTTTCTATCCAATGCGCCTTAAGATCATGATAGTAATATATGATAGGAATATTAAGATTTGTGATTTCTTATTTGCACCAAAATTATCTTCAGATAAGGTCTTCTCTATGATGGCTCCAATGTAGCACATAGCAGCACAGCACATAAGACATCAGTAAATCCCTAGTCTAATATTGGTTTAATAATATCCAATTAAGAAGTCATCGGAAGAAAAGAACAATTTGAAATATAACTAGTACAAGACACTACGCATAAAAAACAAACCAAATTGAGATCATCATCAAATCGGGAAAAACATAAGCAACTTGAGCACAGAATACAAAACATAACAGGGTTATGTGTGAATAAGTAGAGCAAGTTCAACTTCAAATAATAAGAAAGCTACCATGAAATTCGACTAAAGATCAATTCCTGACATGAATGGCAGGAAGGCTTCAGAGAAGGATAGGAAAATTAAAAGCACAATCACTTCCAAGGATGTGATGCAAATGATATAAGCTAATCCAACGAATTAAAAAACCTGTAGGTTTTGATAAGTGGATTGATGATGGGATTTCTATCAAATTAGATGCCTTCAAAGTGAAGATAATACAGTCCTGGTTCAAAAGGAAACCATCAAGAAATATTAACATGTTAGTGTGTTACTTTGAGAAATTATTTAATGAGAGTTCTATAGAAGAATATATTTTGAAAGTGCATAATGAACAATATAATAAGGCATTTTATAAATTTATCTTAAAAAGTGAAATTGATTTAGAGCTGAAAATATATATATATATATATATATATAGCCAAGGCATGAGGTCCAAATGAGAGGCAGCAATTTGGATAACAAATCTTTTCAATGAATCCTAACAGCTAAGCTGGTGTTAAATGATTAAAGAGCAAATAGGGAAGTAAAATTAGTTCTATAATTTTTTGTAAAGTGCTTTGATCTATGTTTTGTGCAATTAATATAGTTCTAATTAGTGAGACATCCATTGAAATAAATGCAAAATTAGAATAGTGACCAAAATGTTTAAAAGATAGAGGCCTTAGAATAAGTACAATAGAACTTGAATATATGATCTACAAGTTTAGCATGTATAATGTTAATAATTATCATTCAATATTATTGAAAGATAAGTTGATCGATAAATGTGATGGGCTTAAATATATTGAATCTGTTGCACAAAAGAATTTAAAAAAAAAAAAATTGAATGTTTAGATGGATGTGTAGCAAAACAAGAAAAGATGATTTAAGGGATGGTATATTAAAGGAAAGGCTGGAATGATATTTGTTAAACATAAGAATATTAAAAATATATTTGCTCTGTTTGAACATGTAATACAAAGGGCTAAAAGATATATAAGTTGATCAAATTCACATTAGAGGATTAGGAAGGAAAAAAATGGCCTTAAAGTTAGATAGATATAAATTGTTTAAAATGAATCATCAAGAATAAGTTTAACATATTCGCCAATAATCAGCAGACATGAATGAAAAATGAAGATTCATAATGCTACACCAAAATTGTTGAGATAAGGCTAATGATGATGATTATTGCTCGTGTGCTGGAAATGGGTGCTTTTAAAAACATGATTAATGAAACACTTATAAAAGATAATCCAAGTTTTTCTTTAGCTAGTTGAATTTTAATTTGATGTTTCTCACCCAAAAATGTCGAATTATGATTCTTATCAATGGCCTTGACCTTTCAGAACGGTGGCAGCTTCATCTAAAGTCAATTGTTATGTAGTCAAAATTATCAAGCAATTATCTTTCTACGTGCTCTTTTTTTATCTAAAGCAACCTGAGCCTTTAAAAGTTCATGATCATCATATCAAAACATTAGTATCATACAAGAACATGCCAAATAGCTTCAAATCTGCTCACAAATAAGGCATCATCATATTCATATTTCAAGTTGAGTTTCTTTTAATTATCCAAATTAAGTATCATATAAACATTTTTCTCACATTTGTTTAGGATCAACTTTTAACTTTATTCAGAATCACCTATGAATTGCTAAAAATTTCACTCATACAATTAGTCAATTTTAGAAATATAAGAAACCAAGAAGAACAATGAAATATATCACTACAAAAAGTATCTCATAACATCAAAATCAGGTGAAACAACAAATATCAACCAAATTACTTATCAGTGGTAACAAGACAGCCAAAACCTTGGCGTAATTATTCATCCACTCTCCTTGTAGTATTTCTTCACATCTTCTAAATATTAATTCCTAACAACTTAATCTATTGTAAAAAATTTTAATATCTTGTTTGCATAGAAAGTAAGGAATTACCTGCATTATATTATTTTTCAGTTTTATTTGCATTACATCTAATCCATGTCAGAAAGGTGAATTTAAAATTCACTGTGTAATACAAGAAGTGCATCACATGTCAACATAGCCAATAAGAACACAGCTTCAAATAGAAAGAGTGAGAAGAATAGCGAAAAGTAAGAATAGGAGGAAGGGAGGGAGGTGAGAGGGGACAGAAACGAGAGAAACGCTAGCAGAATAACAGAAATTGTACACCAGAAACAAGAATAGTTCATATACCCCAGATGCGGCAGAACTGCCAACCTTGCTTTCAGGATTTTTAGAATACAACCACTGCGGTGATAAAGGAAAACTGTTCTCTGAAGTCAGTTGATCTGCAGAATACCAACACTAGCATAAGAAAACATAAGCCAAGGCATTGTACACAATCATTTAACAAAATATAACATGTATAGCAAGCTAATAAAGATGGGAAAGCTCCAAGCAATTTAAGTGAACATTCTAAGCTGATAAGTTAAGCAATAAACAACAGAAAGAATAATAACGATGTTCAGAAGGCCTAAATAACAAAAAAAAAAACTAACCATTACCTGTGGGAGGCATAATAATGAAATTTGACCACATTAAAAACATGATATCATATATACCAGTAGATAGACAAGTACAAGCATGCATACCACAAACAAAAAAAAGCTAAACATTAACTAAGGGAGGCATAAGAATGAAATTTGATCACATCAAAGACATGATATCAAATGGACCATTCGAAGATAGAATTTACGTGCGGAGTCTGGATGAAAACTAGGGGTCTTGATGAAAAGCGTTTTCATCCAGACTCCAATCACGTGAATACACGTGGATACAAATGGATTTTCTCTCTTGTACACACCCGGTGTACAAAAAAAAGGAAAAAAAATCCATGTGTCTTCATGTGATTAGAGTCCGGATGGCCGCACATAATATTTTTTTCAAGTAAAAAGACAAGAACATGCATGCATATACGCACAATGTAGACCTTAGCGCAAATGCACATCTACAAAAAAAAAATGCACTTATGTACATGCACGATTATAAAAACCCACATGCATGCAAATGCAATCAAGAAACTAAGGATTATAACTACAAAACAAACAGCGTGCTCAGCATGCAAGGCATAACACGTTGCTAGCTCATCTGATATAACCAAAGAAACTCATATCAGACATTGGATATTTAAATCAAAGGAATTAACTCTATCAATGCAACATACCTTAAGCTATTATAATGGATAAAACCTGATGATAATTCTACAACAATGAAATGAGCCAAAATAAGACACCGCAATTTACCTTTGAAAACTTTAAAGACAATTAAAAACTAAACTAACCAGAGATATTAATTTCACTGATAAAACAAATTCATGGTAAATGACCTTTTGAGTCGTCAAGCGAGCCCATGATAGCCTTTTCCTCGTCAAGCACTCCGGGAGCGTAACCTTCCAAGCCAAGAGCAAAAAATCATAACCAATAATGATAGTGTATGAGCGATTAGTTTTTTTGGAATAAAGAAATATAAAGCATCATAGAATAGCAACAAAACACTCACAGAAGTGATAACTTCAAATCGATGTCAGTAAAACAAAACAAAATAATAATAATAATAATAATAATAATAATAATAATAATAATAATAATAATAATAATAATAATAATAATAATAATAATAATAATAATAATAATAATAATAATAATAATAACTGGTTCACTCGTTAATACATTCAACTCAGCACTTTCTTGTGACATCACAACAAATGCCCCAAACATAGAATCTGCCGGCCTTAGTCTAGCATCCCACAGCGATGAACCCATTTTTCCTACACTGACCAACCAAAATCTACCTTCAGAAACCGATCCCTAGAAATAAATTCGTACGATATATCAAAGGTTTCATCCAATCAAAGGAGATCCAACGAACATTCATTCACAGCCCAACAACAGAAAACCCTAGGAAGACCAACTCCCTCCCCACCCACCACAGCGGGCGATCCATACCACAGAACATTAGCCCCCACCAAACAAACGAGAAGGGGTGAGCTAAATAGAGTGGTAAACCCGAATACCTTTGCCGCCCCAAGCCTCAGGACTAGGTTTCGTCAGTGCAATACGTGCCAGATCTATCTTTCGTTCAGCCATGGAAACAACGGAAGAGCACCGATCAGAAGAAGCGGAACAGAATTGAAGTTCCCGATCGTCCACAGGAACGACGACCAGAGAGATCTACCAACGCCTGATTGGAACTTCCGGTTCGAAAGAGGGATCGCTCTGACACAGCGAAATCAACGGCCGGCCGACCTCCGGCGAACGAGGTAGGGTTTCAGATTCCAAGCCGGCGAGCAACGGCGAGAGCGAGCGCGTGCGAAGACCTGAGCCAGAGAGAACTGGAATCGGAGGGTTCGTAATTAGGGAGAATGAGAGAGAAACAATGATAGAGGAAATCAGGAAACGATAACAATACCTAGCTTATTCTCTATATTTATATTGTGCATTTATAAAACTTGTCCGCATACCATTTTCGACTTCACCCATAATGAACCGAACGATAAGAAGGGCGGATCGCGTCGGGTGGCGCAATGGGTGGGACGAAATAAATCTTATAGGGAGCCATTTGTAGACCAGAAATAGACCGAGGAAAGAACCATTGATTAGAAGATGAAATAATTCGTGAAAGAGGTCGACGTGGCGCCTTTCTTTTAAGATAAATAATGAAATATAGAGAATATTTGATTTTATATAAAAATAAAATATTTATCTGAAAACATCTTTGTTAGTTAATAGTTATATAAACAAAAAAAGCACTCTTCAATCAGAGATTTAGGGATCAATGATTATGAGTCCTAGGAGAGATTATTTTGTGTGGAGATCGAATGCAGAACGTCGTCCAGAGATCAACTAGAATTTGTCACGTCAGCGATTGCCGAGCTGCGGTACCGAGCATAGAGGTGACATGACACATTCTGCTTGGTCTCTGAATGGTATTCGACACCCGCACATAATAATTAATCGAATCCTAGACTCGAACAATCCTCAGCTTGTGGTCATCATCAGTCCAAAGGACTCGCCTTCAAGTCCAATTGTCAAAATAGTCCCTAGGGACTGGCCTATATGTAGAAAAGAATAGAACGGAGAAGTTTTTTCTGTTCTTGACAGAGAGACAGAGATGAAGCGAGAAGAAGGAAAATAGATTTTCTTATTCATAAAGGAGGAGATACATTTCTTTTTATAAAGCAGTAATGTACGGCATCCTAACAAATAGCCAATCAGAGGATGACAATACTTTTATATGATAAATACAATAATGCTATAATATTATATTGCTCTAATACGCCCCCGCAAACTGACGGGTCCTGGATGACAGTCAGTTTGGTGCGAAGCATGTGAAACCACGGAGTGGAAAGAGGTTTCGTAAGAACGTCAGCTGTTTGATCAATAGAACTTATAGGTAACAAAGCTATGTTGTTCTTTTGAATTTGATCTCGTATGAATTTTTGATCAATGTCCACATGCTTAGTACGAGCATGAAACACTGGGTTATGAGCCAAAGCGATTGCTGAAGTGTTGTCACAGAAAATTTCGGTCGAGTAGTCTTGAGAGAGACCGAAATCTTGAAGGAGCTTGCGAAGCCAAATTACGTCGGTTGTTAGTGCGGCAAGGGCACGATATTCAGACTCAGTTGAGAAGCGAGCGACCGTGTGCTGTTTCTTTACCGTCCACGAGATGATAGATTCACCGAGAAACGAACAGTATCCATACGTGGATTTTCTTATTATGGGATCACCGGCCCAATCCGCATCTGAAAAAGATTTAAGAACTAAATTAGTTTTGGTGATGGGTATACCAAAATTCGACGTACCTTTGATATATCTTAGAAGACGTTTGAGCTGATATATATGTTGAGGTTGCGGATCTTGCATATGTTGGGAGAGAAGGTTGACGCTGTAAGCGATGTCAGGCCGAGTTAGAGTTAAGTACTGGAGGGAACCTGTGAGCCTTCGGTATAGCATGGGATCCGAGAGAATTGGTTCGAGAGGGAACGTAGTAGGGAGTTTGGTGCAGTTGGGATTTGACAGAGGCTTGCAATCCGTTAAGTGTGCTTGCTGTAGAAGTTGATTGGCGTATTTCTGCTGAGAGAGGAAGAAAGAATCTTTAAATCTTTGAATCCTAATACCCAGGAATTCATTTGCTTCACCAAGTTGTTTGAGTGAGAATTCGGTAGCTAGCTTATGAAGAATGTCCTGGATAATTTTGGGTTGATTACCGGTTATTAATATGTCATCAACATATATAAGTAGAAAGATAAGAGCCTTATCTTTGTTGTAGATGAGAAGGGACGGATCGACAAGACTGTGGTTGAACCCGATGGATTCGAGAAATTTGGTGAATGTGTTGTACCATTGTCTTGGAGCTTGTTTTAACCCGTATAGCGCTTTATGAAGTTTGCAAACATAATATGGACGAGAACTATCCTCGAAGCCGCGTGGTTGGTGCATATACACGGTTTCATTTAAGGTGCCGTGGAGAAAGGCATTCGCGACGTCCAATTGTTGTACCTGCCATTCATTATAAATTGCAATAGACAGTAATATGCAAATAGTGGGTAATATTACAACCGGGCTGAAGGTTTCTGTGTAGTCGACGCCAAATTCTTGATTGTTGCCTTGAGCCACCAAACGTGCCTTGTATTTTGCAACAGATCCGTCTGTGTGATATTTAGTTATGTACATCCACTTGCAGCCAAGGATGGACGCATTAGCTGGCGGTTTAACTAAACTCCATGTGGATTGTTTTTGGAGTGCAAGAAACTCGGCGGCCATTGCTTGACGCCATTCAAACTTCTGAACGGCCACAGTGTAAGAAGTAGGATCAGAATTAACAGAATGTGAAGTGGAGTGAAATAGATTTAAGCGATCGGTGCATTTGAGAGATTCGGTTCTGCTGCGGGTTATCATGGGATGAGACACAATGTTGGTCTGCTGGGGTTGGGACGGCATCATAGTTGGAGGCTGAGGAATGATAGAATTGTTTGTGGCGAGATTGTGAGTAGAGGTCGGCTTGTACACTTGCTGTTGAGTAGTATGCGACTTATGCTTAGTGACAGAAGCAGGAATCAAAAAATTAGGTGTGGTTACAGTGAGCGGGATGACAGGCGTAGGAGCAGTGGTAGAGAAAGGAAAAGTTGTTTCATTAAAGGTAGTATATCTTGAGATAATAATTTTGTTGGTATTTAAATTGAGACACTTGTACCCTTTGTAAGTGTCTGAATATCCCAAGAAGACACAGGGAATAGTTCTTGGTTGAAGTTTGTGACAGGATGTAGGAGGTGTGAGAGGAAAACATTGACAACCGAAGACTCGAAGGTTGTTGTAGTCTGGTTTAGTGTGATGAATCAACTCGAAGGGGGAAATGTCATTGGTGGTGGACGACGGCATTTTATTTATGAGGTAGACCGAGGTGAGAACGGCGTCCGGCCAGTAAATGTATGGGACGGAGGCAGCTTGCAGCAATGTACGAGCAGTCTCTATAATGTGACGGTGCTTCCTCTCGGCGAGACCGTTTTGTTCAGGGGTATACGGGCAAGATTTTTGGTGAATAATGCCTTGTTTGCTGAGGTAGTCGGAGAACTCATGATTTACATATTCAGAATCGCCGTCTGTCCGAAGAATTTTAATTTTATGCCCAAGATAATTTTCAACCTGAGTTTTAAAACTAATAAAAGCATGAAAAGCATCAGATTTGCGACGTAAAAGAAAAAGCCAAGTGAAACGAGTACAGTCATCTATGAATATAACGTAGTATAGATATCCCTGCGTGGAAGTAATCGGTGCTGGACCCCACACGTCAGAGTGAACGGTAGCTAAAGGAATAGTTTGTCTGTTTTGAGAATGTTCAAAAGACAACTTATGTCCCTTAGACTCTTTACAAGATGTACAGAAAGAATGCTTTCCAATCTTGATATTTTTATTACATTTATGAAGAATGTCTAATATCCGCTTGTGTGGGTGTTCGAGCCTTTGATGCCAGAGATCGGTGGAGATATGTCCAGCGGCCAATGCTTTATTCGGAGAGGATTCAAGCTTGAGAGGGTAGAGCCCTTCATTGCACGGACCTTGAAGGAGGATTTGATGGGTCGTCGAATCCTTAAATGTAAACCCGTTAGCATCGAAAATTATCGAAATATTGTTATCTTTTGTAAGACGTGAGATAGATAATAAGTTGTAAGCAAGAGATGGGGAATGAAGAATGTTAGACATTTGTAGCTTACGATAGGGGGTTGGAAGGATTCCAGCCCCTGAGTGAGCAATGTTGATGGAGCTACCGTCCCCAATCGTGATGTTTTCTGAGCCTTGATAAGGAGAAGTGACGGACATGTTGTCGAGCGAGTTGGTTAGATGCGTGGAAGCACCGGAGTCCGGGAACCAGGTGTTGTCCTGGTTGGTTGTGGCAGCAAGAAGTGTGGTTGTCCAGGTAACAAAGCATTGTTCACATTCCTGGCGGTGGGAGTGTACTGGCATTTAAGCGATGCCAATAAGAATTTGCTGAGTGTCCTTTCTTGAAGCAGATTTGGCAAATAACAGAGCTGTTGGGGTTGGAGCGGGACTGGCCAGTAGAACTTTGATTTTGTCTGCCACGAGACCGTCGGCCTCTCCCCCTGTAGCCAAATAATGCCATGTTTGGATCGTTGCCTGTGATTTGACGAGCAGTATCCGCCGCAATATGAATCTCCTCGCTCAAAAGAAGAGGATATAATTGGTCGAGGCTTATCGGAGTCAACATCGTGTGGATGGATGTCTTGAAGGCTTGATAAGGAGGAGGTAGACCGTTTAGGATGTAGAGGATTATGTCCTCTATGTCTACAGTGGAGCCGGCAGCGGCTATTTGGTCGACCAAAGATTTAATCTCTGAGAGATATTGTGTCATGGTGGATGTTTTTAAAGACACATTGTGAAGTTCATTCTTAAGTTGAATGACCTTCGAACGGTTTGAAGATTGAAATCGGGCTTCTAAAGAATGCCAGATTTCAGCCGTGGATTCCAACGATATCACATATGGCAAAATGGAAGGCGAAATAGTCGCGCAGATAGCAGCGGAGAGGGTTTGATCGGTCAGATGCCGATTGCCGGTACTAGTTGTTGAGGACGACGAACCTTCTTGAATCTGATCAGAGGATTCAGGTGGCACGATGGGCGGAACAAGAAAATTGTAGAAGCCATTCGCACGGATGATTTTCAGGATTTGAGATCGCCATATAGCGTAGTTGTCGGCGTTGAGCGGAGTGGTGACGAAGTTCTTGATGTTGGATACGACGAACTTCAGGTTGGCCGGAATTAGTTGATCGGCCGAGGCAGTAGTGTCGCCGGAAACTTGAAAAGAAACAGATTGAGACATCGAGTTAGGAAGAGAGAAGACTGGCGACTGATACCATGTAGAAAAGATTAGAACGGAGAAGTTTTCTCTGTTCTTGACAGAGAGACAGAGATGAAGCGAAAAGAAGGAAAATAGATTTTCTTATTCATAAAGGAGGAGATACATTTCTTTTTATAAAGCAGTAATGTACGGCATCCTAACATATAGCCAATCAGAGGATGACAATACTTTTATATGATAAATACAATAATGCTATAATATTCTATTGCTCTAATACTATATGATCATTTTGAAAGAACTTGATTCATCCGGTTCACTCATCTGTGAAGGCTCGCCAAGGATTGAACTTGTAATCGATAGACATATTGAAGATATGAAGCCGCACTAGCACCTGCCAACTCGTGTCACATGTTTTGTATAGTTTGTAATGGGATATTATTGATATTGTGCTAATATTTTTTGCTTTTTCATTATGTGTAACAATCTATTTGGCCCTCCAAACTCTATAATTAAGGGGTGAGGAGAAACATTTTGGGTCATTTTTAGGTTACTTCCCAAATCTTTTGATATATTCAAGAACTTTGATATTCTTTGAGTGTATTCTATAATTTGATCTCTCCCTATCATCTGTGTTAATGAAAATCTCAACATAATCTGTAGTTTCCACTTAACAAATTGCTTTCTAGTAAAGTTGGAGTCATTCGACGATGAATTCAGATCCAACAAAATTTATTTTGAATAAAATTATCTTTAATTTATTATAATACTAATATTCATGAATCTTTTTTTTTTTTTTTTTTTTTTTTTCAATTCCAACCCTTGCAATTCCAACCCTTCAAAAATGACTTTAATTAGTTTAAACTTGATTCGAACTTATCTTCAAATACCCACAGTTGCTTAGATTGATTGGTGAGTGAGTATAGTTGGGAGTTCTCAAACTCGTGCTCGATTTCCCTCGAGCGATAGCACCTCTTAAATGGGTCTAGGTCAACATAGGATTAGTCACACCGCCAAGCGGATGGATACCCCATTCAAAAAAAAAACAAAAACTTATCTTTAAAACTTCATCTTAACAGGATTTTAACTTGGTTCAAAATTGATTCGAATCAAGGTTCAAAGCTTTGTTCACATCACAATAATTTATCATTTGTCTCTCGCTTGAGGAAGCCAATGATTGAAATATTAGAGAACTTATGGTGGTGTTTTTTATAAAATTTGGATCAATGGTTAAAAAATCATGATATTTTTTAATTTGATTGCTTGCAAGAGAAAATTATCTCTATGCATTGGGTTTTTGGCATAGGATTATTAGGTAGTTAATGCCTTTGAAGGCTATTAGGGATGTGGTAGAATATTTGAAAGAGTTCTAAAGAGTTTAGAAGTATTTTAAAACTAACAAAATCTCGGCTTGAGATTATATAGAGAAGATGAGAATTGTGTTTAGAAAGATGAGGACTAAGGGTGAGAAACTAAAACTAAGAACTCGTCAAAACCCAAAAAGATCAGTCACTAAGCTTCACGAAATAACAATGAAGTCACCCGGCCTTCTAAATAAATTTTATACTAGCGAAAAAGTAAGCTTTATTTAGTGAATCCACATAAACAATGTTCTATTTATAGACATCTTTCAAACCTAGATAATTTGAAAAGCTTTAAGAACCAACAAAATACTATTGCATAGATTAATGATTTATTCTAATATAAAAGATAAAAAAAGAAATAAAATTAAATTAAAAGATTAAAAAAATATAAAAATTCAAATTAATCAAATAAGATGAACAAAGTGATCCTGAAATCAAGCAATTTATGAACATTTTTTGCTTCTTTAATTGATATGAACCACAACCCCATCAAGGATTTTAATTATCCTTCACTGACTTTAGAAAATGTATAATGAATTGTGTATGATAAATGACCCAAAGTTTAATTTATAATATATATTTATTTTAATTGACTTAAATGTCCAAATAAAACTATTTATTAGAAATTTTAAACAGTTAAAAAAGTTAAAAATTATATTTTAATTACTTTAAATACCATAAAAAATGTTTCTAAGTTTTAATGAGTTTTTAAACGTATCGTTCAGCTACCAAGTGAGAAATATAAAAGTTAGTTTAAAATGGGCATTGGTAAGAGAGCCAGAGACTGACTTACTCACGAAGACTTTTTAATTATTAGATTATTTGCAGACAGCGGAAAAATATATATTAAAATAATTATAATAATTTTATTTTTACTTTTAACATATGTTATCAAATAAAAATATTATTGTTGCGGGCTAAAGTATATGTGAAGATAGAGTTATAAAATTATACGTCTTAATCTTGTATGGATATCCAGCACACAAACAGAATAAAAAAGAAATGCCATTATTTTTATGAGAAAACCCTGGAAAGGAAAAAACCTCGGGGGCACACCCAGATAAAAGGATTATACTAGTAGTTGCTTAAGTTACAAGTGGCTGATTCTATCGGTTTGAATTTCACTTACAAACGGAGATAGAAAATTTGATGATGTTTTGGTGGTCGGGCAAATATCCTGCTTTAATTGACGGTTAGGCAGAATTCTGGCGTTAGTCGGTTGTCGGGCAGAACTCCGACGCCAGCCCACAGTTGGGTAGAATTCCAGCGTCAATTGGCAGTCAGGTGGAAGTCCAGCGGTGGCCAAGGAGTTTCTTATTTCTTTTCTTTTTTTTCCTTCTCTTCTTGCTTAATTCTAACGTCCATCGATTGCTGGGTGAAAGTTCGGCGGTGGTCGAGGAGGAGTCTCTTCCTTCTCTTTCTTTTATTCCATTCTTTCTCTTCTTCTTACTGCTTAATTCCAACACTCGTCAATGTCGGATTGAAAGGTCTCCCGGTGGCAAAGAGTCCTTCCTTCCTTCTCTTCATTTCTTCCTTCTCTTCTCTTTTACTTGGGTCCCCTTCCAAGAGAGAAATGATCGGTCCTAATTAAGTTTTCTGAAAGTTGGTATGATAAAGTAAATAGGATGAAGATCAGAGATAGAATTGGAAGTGGTTTGATGGACGACAATGATGATCCCTTGATTCAATTGATCAATTTATCTAGGCATTGAAGCTCTATATTTCAGAATTCACGATTTGGGCTCATTGAGATTCATCTCGTCAAGCCCGCTCGATTCGACTATAAGCACGCCAAATTCGAAAATTGTTTGGCAATCCAAATATATAATTTAACCCTCCCAAAGCACTTCGGGTATTTAGATTTGAACACATTTGGGCTCGGATTGAGTTGAATTTGGTGCCGTTATGTTTAATATTTTCAAGACGTTCAATTTGACTGTAAGTTTCTGAAATCCAAAGTTTAGATTATCTTCATTTAATTTTTAAATTTCCGAACTTTATGTGGCTTGAGATTCAAGCCCGATAAAGATAATTTTTCGATGATATTCAATATATTTGAAAATTTTGTGATATTAATACAAAATTTTTAAGAACACGTTAAATTTCATAATAGACTTATTAACTAATAGCATTCTGATAATTATAATAATAATAATAATAAAAAATAAAGAGATGAACAGTAACAGCTTCCGTAGTGTTGCAAACACCGACATATAAACCAAAAACTTGCAGATCCAAAGACAGATAACTCAATATTTCAGCTTAAAATTATCTTAATTTATTTTAATGTAGCCGAAAATTAATGAAACTAAACACATAACAAGGCATATCTGATCCAATTTCAGAATCATCTCACCAATGATACTTAGGCTTAGTTTGGCGAACGGCTTTTTTATAGATTAAATTTTGTACTAAAAATTTATTTTAGAAATCAATAAAAAAGCCGTCCCAAACGAAGCCTTAATAGATAAACTTAACCCCAAAGAATTAAAAAATTAAGAAAAAATACATATGCATACCACTTTATAATATCATATACAATATCAACACTCAAAAACTTTAATATTACATACATACAACATTATATTTTTCATATATCAATATATATTATATTTATGTCCTATCACTCATCAATTTTTATTCTACCACTACATATTTTGATATAGAAAAAACTATGAATGATATACATGTAGTATTAAAGTTCAAGTGTTTAAATATATAAATTAAAATAATATAAGGTAAATGTAATTTAATAGCCATCTCAAATTAAAAGATAAAAGAATAAGATGTTTCATATTAAGGTTTTGGGACGGTTTTCCTTACGCGTCTTAAAGCAATTTTTTAGTACAAAAATTTTTATTTTTTTTAAAAAATTACTTTCATGAAGAATAAAGAAAAATGCCTCAAAACAAACCTAAGATTTTGTTATGTACAATCCTTTTTATTGTTTTTTTTTTTTTAATATGTTAGTACAAAAATTTTACAACTAAGAAAATTATGTACTAAAAACTATCTTAAAAAATAGTAAGAAAATACATCTCAAAAGAGATTATTTTGTGCCGACACCGACGGTCTGGAGACCACACCAGAACGCGTCATGTCACCACGGTACACATGTGGTACCGAGCACCGGTACAAGCAAAAATAATGACGTGACACCTTCTGATTTTTGTCTTTGAACGCCCCCTGGGTTTCGCACATGAAAATTTTCCCCAAAGAGCCTAAATTTTAAAGCTCATAATTTAATCTACATAATCCACATTTTGAGATTTTCATGCAATCTAGCTATCTGAAATCTGATATAACCCCGATTTTGGAGCATAAAAGAAGAAAAGAAGCAAACATATGTGGCATAAAATGCAATACATTTACTTTACAGCAAGAATGCTAAATAGACAGACATGCAGGATTATCAACAAAAAACGCTTATAAGCAAGTCTTGGAAAGACTGGAGAACACTAGAATAAAACAAAAACATTGATCAATCAGGCAATGAAGCCAATCAAGTAAGAATTGAAGTCCGCGACAACTCTTTAGCTCAAAAACTAAACAAAAGCTCTAATGAACAGCATAATCCTGATTTGAAGCTATGAAGCACACTAATAAAAAAGGCAACCTAACTCATCTCTGGGCATCTTCTTAGCCAAACCTCTCCTTGGC